ACTTTTGATGGTAATGGAATAGAAGGGCTGTCAAAAAAGACTACTGTTGAGTCATATTGATGAAAGTGCTTTATCGAGTTTCATTTTTAACAATTTTTTCTTCAAGTTCTGAAACAGTGCAGATATTTGGCAGGATATGTATGATGGTGTTGGATTATTCACTGAAGAAGTGACCATCAAAGTCGTTAAACCTGCAAAAAAAAACACTATTTTCCTTTTCCTCATTTTTAGCGAACTGGACGATCAGATTGCATGCGGTGTCGATCCTGCAGCGGTGTGTTTACTGCATTACTAATTCGTAGTCAATTTTATCATCGTCTTGTCCGTTACACCTAGACTATATCCATGGCACTTATTTTGCTTATTGTTGTCTACTGCTGTATACAACAAGGTAAAGTACGGTCCTTCAATTAGTACAATTTTGAGCATTGTTATTGACTTTCCCTCTGGCTTAGTAACCATAATTTAGCCAATAGGAATACGGGCTTCCCATTTCTCTTGCCTCTAATTGGTTAGTTAGGTATCTTATCTCAATACTACTTAGTGTCAAGCTAATCAAAAATGCGGATTTGGCATTAGTTGGAGGAGCAAAATTGGATAAACTAGAATACTGTAATTAAATTTGTGTGTGCGTCCGTTATGCAGCCATTGCCGACCACGCCAAGGGACGAGGAAATGATTGCAAGGCTGAAGTCAGCTTTTGACGCTATTGCTGGTGGTACTGGTGATATTGAAGCCGAGGACTTGCGCAATATTTTGAACAGAGTCTTCGAGAACAAGGGTTAGTCTCTGATGAAACCGACATTTAAAATTCCATTCAATCTTTGTAGTTTCGGTAGCAAAATGTCCACTTCTTTGATTTGTTAACCGCTTCTAGTTTAAATTAATATTTCTATTCCAGTGGGCGAATGCTTCGAAGGGTTCAGCTTGGAGACAGCAAGGAGTATGGTCGCGCTTATGGATGTATCCTTTTGAGTGTTGCTTGAAATATTCAAGAGGATTGTAGGATATCTGAATGTCAATCCATTCCACACCATTTCAACTTCCCCTCTCAGAGATTTCACAAAGTATGTTTGACATGACTCCTGAGTTTCAAGGTCACAAAAGGTGGAAGAGCCAATCAGTCTAATTACCAATATTATCTCTTCGATAGCATTGTCGACATTGAAAGGTTTGTGAGTTTGGTTGGGCTGTTTTGTGGCTGTTGGCACCTGACTTGTACTGCGTCCGCAAAATTAAAGTATATGTGGCTGATTGAGAGAATGTGTTTTGTGTTGTACAGTTGGCTCTGATGACGGTGTTTCCTCACACAGTGGCTGACTGTTCATAATCCTGACCGAGTGTTGGGACGTGGTGCGTAGAGAACCAATTACCATGACCAGGATGCGATCGGATCGACATCATTTGCACTGTAAAATAGGGCATCCTGTTGACAGACATGAGACCCCAATCGCTGTACTTGGACGTCCTTGGGTTCTCCTCTAGGCGAAAGTTGATGCGTGCGGGGCTCAGGTTTAACTCCCTGGTTCCCATTTCGAAGGGGCCTTT